CAGCCCTACGCCGTGCCTGGGGTGACATTTCGGGCTTCATTATTGTCATCCTTACCATGCTTCTGGCTTACTCCATCGCGGTAAGTGTCGGCTTTGGAAAAAGCCCGAGGCTGATTCTGTGAAAGCCAAGGCTAATTGGTGGTGGGAAGTGGATATTTAGGGTTAGAGAGACCCTGGGAACCCAAGGAAGGTGGTGGCTTTTCTGAATACAGTTCTCTTAGGTGTGAACTCATGCACCAGTCAACTCAAATAGCAAAGCCTGGAGAGCTCAGGTGGATACGGTGACGAAGTTTAAGTGTTGAAAGGGTCCAGGTTCAGGAAGAATTTCTTTCTGCATCTAGAGCGCTCCTGGATGTGTCAGTTCTCCTGGCTTCCCAACTGGTCAGAAGGCACAGGGCTGGCTGACACACAGACACACACAGAGCATTTGGGAGGCCAAGGCAGGTGGATCACCTTAAGTCAGGAGTTCAAGGCCAGCCTGACCACAAAACCTGTCTCTACTAAAAATATAAAAATTAGCAGGACATGGTGGTGCATACCTGTAGTCCCAGCTACTTGTGAGGCTGAGACAGGAGAATTGCTTGAACCTGTGAGGCGGAGGTTGCAGTGAGCCGAGATCATGCCATTGCACTCTAGCCTGGGTGACAGAGCAAGACTCCATCTCAAAAAAAAACAAGGTGGGGGCTGGGTGCAGTGGCTCACACCTGTAATCGCAGCACTTTGGGAGGCCAAGGCGGGCAGATCACCTGAGATCAGAAGTTTGAGACCAGCCTGGTAAACATGGAGAAACTTCATCTCTACTAAAAATACAAAATTAGCTGGGCGTGGTTGCGCATGCCTGTAATCCCAGTTATTTGGGAGGCTGAGGCAGGAGAATTGCTGGAACCCAGGAGGCAGAGGTTGAGGTGAGCTGAGATCATGCCATTGCACTCCAGCCTGGGCAACAAAAGCAAAACTCCATCTCAAGCAAAGAGACAGACAAAACAAGTTGTGTACACACATCCACTTGCACACCGCTGTAGGTACAGTAACTTGATCCACGCAGCCACAACAGTGGCTGACACAGACCACCCACTCGACTGTAAAGCAGCAGGCTTTGTGGGTCTTGGTGGCCTCCTTCCCTGTTCATGAGGATTCTTTCCATGACAGTCGAACTTAATATTTGGTTGGAAACTTCGTTCCTACAAAACCCTCTTTGATGCGGCAGAGACGATGATCAGCCTTCAAATGGGAATCTTCAACTACGAGGAGGTAATGGGATGAGGGCACGGAGGCTGCCATCTACACGGAGCCTCTATGAGGATTAGAAGAAGCACTCCCTGTCCTCCCCACCCCTTGCCATCCCTTGGGCCCATGGCCTGGCTAGCACCGGGCAAGTTTGGACAAATAGAAATGTCCCCCTCCCCTAGGTGGACAGCCCTGCTAGAGCCCATAGCTTGCCCTCGGGACCCCGGCTCACAGAGGAACATCGGGTGCTGGCTACTCAGGGGAGGGCTGTGCAGGGGTCTCCCAAAGGAAACTCCCCCTGCCCTGGGCAGAAAGAGCGGACATCTTTGGAGGTGGCAGCCATGGAAAGTAAGGGGCTGCCTGTTCCCTCCCTTGCCTAGCCTCAGCCCCAGGCAGAAGGAACTTTCCTGGCTTCAAGCTCTGCCTAGCTCTGAGGACTGTTTTCCTTCCGAGGGTTCCCAGTGGGAGAGGTGGCTGCTGGGACCCAGGATACTGGATGACCCTGGCTGGCTTGCCTTCCTTCCTTCCCTCCTTTCCCTCCCTTCCCCTCTCTTCTTTCTTTCTTGATGGAGTCTTACTCTTGTCACCCAGGCTGGAGTGCAAAGGCATGAACTCAGCTCACTGCAACCTCTGCCTCCCGGGTTCAAGTGATTCTCCTGCCTTAGCCTCCTGAGTAGCTGAGATTACAGGTGCCCACCATCACAATCTGCTAATTTTTGTATTTTTAGTAGAGACAGGGTTTTATCATGTTGGCCAGGCTGGTCTCCAACTCCTGACCTCAGGTAATCCGCCCACCTCAGCCCCGCAAAGTGCTGGGATCACAGGCCTGAGCCACCGTGCCTGGCTGACCCTGGTTTTCTTTCTGACAGGTCCTGGACTATAGCCCAGTGCTTGGCTCCTTCCTCATTGGGTCCTGCATCGTTTTTATGACGTTTGTGGTGCTGAACCTGTTTATCTCTGTCATCCTGGTGGCCTTCAGTGAGGAGCAAAAATGCTATCAGGTGAGTGGCTTTGGTAGATTTCTCATCAATCATTGACCCTGAACTATGAAGAAGTTGGAGCAGCACTAGACTTTAGGGGGACTGGAGAGATCATTGTAGCTCAGAGCCTTCATTTCACAGGAGGGGAAACTGAGGCACAGGTGAAGGACATTAATTCCCCAAAATCACAAGCTAGTGAGAGGTAGGGCTGGGACCAGAGCCAGGTCTCCTGATTCCAAATTTGGACTCTGTTCACAATATCAGTGACCTCTACCCTGAGTATACCTTAGAATCACCTGGGGCCTTTTAGAAACAACTACTGCCCTGCCAGAGACCAATGCCACCAGAGACCAATACCAATAAACACCAATACCACCAGAGACCAATGTCACCACAGACCAATACCAATAAACACCAATACCACCAGAGACCAATGCCACCAGAGACCAATACCAATAAACACCAATACCACCAGAGACCAATACCAATAAACACCAATACCACCAGAGACCAATGCCACCAGAGACCAATACCAATAAACACCAATACCACCAGAGACCAATACCAATAAACACCAATACCACCAGAGACCAATACCAATAAAAACCAATACCACCAGAGACCAATGCCACCAGAGACCAATACCAATAAACACTAATACCACCAGAAACCAATACCACCACAGACCAATACCAATAAACACCAATACCACCAGAGACCAATGCCACCAGAGACCAATACCAATAAACACTAATACCACCAGAAACCAATACCACCACAGACCAATACCACCAGAGACCAATACCACCAGAGAACAATATCAGCTGACACCAGCACCAACACAGAACAATACCAATAAACAATGACACCACCTGAGACCAATACCAATAGAGACCGATACCAACAGACACTAATACCACCAGAGACCAATACCACCAGAGACTGACACCACCTGACACTGGCACCAACAGAGACCGACGTCACTGCAGACCAGTACCTCCAGACACCAATACTATCAGAGACTAATTCCAACAGAATCTCTGGGGTAATGACTCAGGCCTTGGTATATTTGAAATCTCTTTGAGTAATTTTTTTTTGAGATGGAGTTTTCATTCTTGTTGCCCAAGCTGGAGCACAATGGCACCATCTCAGCTCACTACAACCTCCATCTCCCAGGTTCAAGTGGTTCTCCTGCCTCAGCCTCCCAAATAGCTGGGATTACAGGTGCCCACCACCACGCCCAGCTAATTTTTTTTATTTAGTAGAGACAGGGTTTCACCATGTTGGTCAGGCTGGTCTTGAACTCCTGACCTCAGTTGATCTACCCATCTCTGTCTCCCAAAGTGCTGGGATTACTGGCATGAGCCACCATGCCCAGCCCTCTCTTTGGGTAATTTTAATGTTAATAAACAGCCAAGGTTGAGAACCCGCTCTACACTCCAAAACCTCAGCCCACGTCATCATGTCTCCAAGGGCAACAAGCTGGGTACTCACGATCAACCTCCCCACTGTGGAAGAGTGGATCGACCTCTCACCCCCTGCAGGAAGAGGGGTATGAGCACACAGACAGCGGGTTAATAACGGCCACCAGCACCATCTACAGAGAGTGCTCTTCACAACAGAAGCTGTATTGAAAGCTTCACACATTGTATTTAGTCCTCAAAACAGCTCTGTGAAGTAGACGTAATTATTCACATCTTACAGAGAAGGAAACCAAGGCTCACAGAGTTGAAGTCATTTACCTAAGGACCACAGAGCTAGACTGCAGGAAAAGTGGGATTTCAACCTGGGTCTGTCTGACTTGGATGAATGGTTTCATTTTGTTTTTCCCCTGCCCTTCTAGAGGTGTGGCTGTATGAAAGGTGACGTATTATGCAGCTCACCCTTCCTGTCCCAGTTGAAAAGTTTCTTTCAATCTGTATGCCCCAGCTGGGTGTGGTGGCACACACCTGTGCACCTAGCTACACAGGAGGCTGAGGTGGGAGGACCACCTGAACCCAGGAGGTGGAGGCTGCAGTGAGCTGGGATCATGCTACTGCACTCCAGCTTGGGTGGCAGAGCAAGATCCTGTCTCAAAAGAAAAAAAGAAAAATCTGCATGCCTGACAAACCCTTATGACACTCTTTTTTTTCCGTTTCAATTTAAAAGCCACAATTTGCTATTATTGTTGTTTTCCTCAATTGCAAAAGATTTCATAAAGGTGACATAGAATCATTATTTAAGAGTTAAAATAACTCTTAAATAATAATTTTAATAATAATTAAAGACGATGATTTAAAAATAAATAATTTATTTTTAAATTAAATTATTTTAATATTTAAATAATTTAAAAATAATTTAATAATTTAAAAATAAATTTAATAATAATTATTTTAACTCTTAAATAAATCATTATTTAAGAATTATTTTTCCTGGAAACCAGGAAATTATTGCCCACAGGATTAAAGAATGTGAAGAATGCTGCCCCTCCTCTGTTGCTACATGGTCTCTGATACACTTGTAACGTGTGTCCCAGATCTGTGTCTGGAAAGGAAAACACAAATTTTTATTTCTACTAAACTCTCACGTGACACAGAACACTTTTGTGACCACACATCAAGCAACTGTGCAGCAGACACCAGCTGGGTATCTTATACCAATTGGGCATCCCTAATCCAAAAATCAGGAGTTCAGAATGCTCTGAAATCCAGAATTGTTTGCATGCTGACACGAGGTCACACATGGAAAATTCCACACGTAACTTGTTAATACAAACTTTGTTTCATGCACAAAATTATTGAAAATACTGAGCCAGTGTTCACCTCAGCAGCACATATGCTGAAGCTGGAATGATACAGAGAAGATTAGCCTGCCCCCTGTGCAAGGAGGACAGGCAAATTCATAAAGAGTTTCATATTTTTAATATAATTAAAAAAAATTTTTTTTGAGACGGAGTTTCACTGTTGTTACCGACTAGAGTGCAATGGCGCGATCTCGGCTCACCGCAACCTCCGCCTTCTGGGTTCAAGCAATTCTCCTGCCTCAGCCTCCTGAGTAGCTGGGATTACAGGCATGCACCACCATGCCCAGCTAATTTTTGTATTTTTAGTAGAGACGGGGTTTCACCTTGTTGACCAGGATGGTGTCGATCTCTTGACCTTGTGATCCACCCACCTTGGCCTCGCAAAGTGCTGGGATTATAGGCGTGAGCCACCGCGCCTGGCCTAATTTAAAAATTTTAAAAAATACTGGGCCAGGTACGGTGGCTCACGCCTGTAATCCCAGCACTTTGGGACACAAAGGTGGGCTGACCATGAGGTCAGGAGTTCGAGACCACCCTGGCCAACATAGTGAAACCCCGTGTCTACTAAAAAATACAAAACTTAGCCAGGTGTGGTGGCATGTGCCTGTAGTTCCAGCTACTCGGGAGGCTGAGGCAGGAGAATCACTTGAACCTGGGAGGTGGAGGTTGTGGTAAGCCAAGATCTCGCCACTGCACTCCAGCCTGGATGACAGAGTGAGACTCTATCTCAATTAAAAAAAATTATTTGTAAAGATGAGGTCTGACTAGGTTGCCCAGGATTAACTCGAACTCCTAGGATCAAGCAGCACTCTCACCTTGGCCTCCCCAAATCCTGGGACTACAGGTACAAACCCTGTGCTCAGCCTGTGCTTAAATTCTTAACCGCCTCTGTTGGGGTGGTAGAGGGCATTTTCGCACCAGTTTACTGAACGTGCCTGTTTGGCACCTACATCCCTTATGTGAAATCTGCGTTCCTGTTTCCTAGAAGTTCTTTGTTTGCTTTAAGTCACTCTCAAATATGTATGTATGGTTGAGAAGCGTGGGAAAGCCGGAGAGAAACACCTGTTTAGCTTTTCATTCCCAGTACTTCCTCCCATACCAAGCTAGGCCAGGAGGTAAACAGAGCAAGCAGAAGGAATAATAGTAAAGAACTCGGGCCGGGCACGCTGGCTCACGCCTGTAATCCCAACACTTGGGGAGGCTGAGGGGAGTGAATCAGCTGAGCTCAGGAGTTTGAGACCAGCCTGGCCAACATGGTAAAACGTTGTTTCTACCACAAATAGAAAAATTAGCTGGCATGGTGTGGTAATGGTTGCCTGTAATCCCAGCTTCTCCAGAGGCTGAGGCAGGAGAATCTCTGGAATCCGTGAGGCGGAGGCTGCAGTGAACCTAGATTGAGCCACTGCACTCCAGCCTGGACGACAGAGCTAGATTCTGTCTCATTAAAAAAAAAAAAAAAAAAGGGGTTGAAGGAAGGAGCCATCACCAATGCTCTGACCTAGAGGAAAAGGGGAGCCCCTCATCTCAGAAGGGGGCCCACGTGCTGCCAGTGCTGCTTAACTGCAGGGTCAGCCACCCAGCTGAGGCTTACTCTGCACTGGCTTGGGAAGTTGAACTGTTGCAGTGAAGACCCAGTCATCCTCAACAGAGAGGAGGAGGGAGCTCGCTGAGGATCAAGGATGGAGCACACACCCCTGGGATTCCCAGAGGGAGGCCTTCCCATCCTAAAACAGCTCTGAACAGTGAAGTGACCTAGGCTGGGAGCAGACTGGACAATAATACTGTTTTCGGCTGGGCGGGATGCAGTGGCTCGCACCTGTCATCTCACCACTTTGGGAGGCTGAGGCAGGTGGATTACTTGATGCCAGGAGTTTGAGACCAGCCTGGCCAACATGGTGAAACCCCGTCTCTACTAAAAATACAAAAATTAGCTGGGCGTGGTAGCACACACCTGTAATCCCAGCTACTCAGGAGGCTGAGGCAGGAGAATTGCTTGAACCCGGGAGGTGGAGGTTGTGGTGAGCCGAGATTATGAGACTGCACTCCAGCCTGGGCAACAGAGGGAGACATAAAATTAAATTGTCAAATTAAATTAAATTAAAAATAGTGTTTTCCTCTTAGAAAAAAAAGCCCCCAAAGAGGATGGTTCTATGTACATTGCTTGGTTCTTTCTCTCTTGCAGCTGTCGGAGGAAGGAGAGATTGTAGATTTGCTGCTGATGAAAATACTGAGTTTCCTGGGCATTAAATGTAAGACAGAGGAGTCTGGAAGCAGCAGGGAGCAGCCGGGATCACTGTCCCAGACTCGCAGCTCTCAACCAGCACAAGCTTTGCCCAAGGTCTAAGCTATTCATCTACACACCATCGTCTACGAGTGGGGATACCCACGGCCTTGGGCCTGTGCTTACCAGCAACTCTATAGTCTCTCTAGGTCATAGCTTCTGTGTCCATTGAAGATTTACCAAGCCCAGCAAGTAAAAATATTAGAATAACAGAGACATATATAAAACCGCCAGTGCTATGAGAGCTTCTTTGTTCAAATGTATTTCTTCTTACTAGAAATAAAACAAATGCTACATGGAATTTGAAAAAAACAATTTCCTCTACAGACTAATTATTTCATCTTTTTTTTTTTTTTTTTGAGACGGAGTCTGACACTGTCACCCAGGCTGTAGTGCAGTGGCACGATCTCTGCTCACTGCGATCTCTGCCTCCTGGGTTCAAGCAATTCTCTTACCTTGGCTTCCCAAGTAGCTGGGACTATAGGCATGCACCACCACGCCCAGCTAATTTTTTTGTATTTTTAGTAGAGTCAGGGTTTCACCATGTTGGCCAGGATGGTCTCAATCTCCTGACCTTGTGATCCGCCTGCCTCGGCCTCCCAAAGTGCTGGGATTACAGGCATGAGCCACTGCATCTGGCAAATTCTTTCATCTCTTTGGTCTGTCACGGGTTGCTTTTGAATGATTCTCGTTTCAGCGTTTCTCAAACTGTGTCTGAGAGATGCTAATGGATGCAGTATTCATTTCCCAGAGTGGCCAGAACCAAGCTTCACAAACGGAGTGGCTTAAAACAAGAGAAATGTATTCTCTCCCAGTTCTGGAGCCAGAAGTCTACAATCAAGACATTGGCAGTGGCTGGGCTTGGTGGCTCACGCCTGTAATCCCATCACTTTGGGAGGCCAAGGCAGGTGGAACCCTTGAGGCCAGGAGTTCAACACCAGCCTGGCCAACATGGTGAAACCCCCGTCTCTACTAAAAATACAAAAATTAGCCGGGCCTCGTGGTGGGAGCCTGTAGTCTCAGCTATTTGGGAGGCTGGGGCAGAAGAATTGCTTGAACCCAGGAGGCAGAGGTTACAGTGAGCCGAGATGGCACCACTGCACTCCAGCCTGGGCAAGAGACTACCACTCCATCTCCACACACACACACACACAAAAGAATGAAAAAAAAAATGTTGGCAGTACCATGCTCCCTTTGAGGGCTCTAGGAAAGAATGCTTCTTGCCTCTTCTGGCTTTTGGTGTTGGCCAGCAAGCCTTGGTGTCCCTTGGCTTCTAGATGCATCACTCCCAGATGGGAAGAGGCGTGCTGGGAGCCTGTGCTCCTTCTGATCTTATCAGGACATCAGACATATTGGATTAGGGTCTACTGTAGTCCAGAGTGAACTTATCCAAACTAATTATAATACGTCTGCGGGGATCTGTTTCCCATCGGAAGAACTGGGGCTTAGGACTTTGACATAACACAACTTTATCCATAACAAGTGTCATTTCTCCAAAAATGTTTCTGGCTCAAATAAATATGAGGAATGCTCGGTTATAAAAGGTTTTGTTTTGTTTTTTTGAGACAGGGTCTAGCTCTGTTGCCCAGGCTGGAATGCAGTGATGATTTCAGCTCACTGCAATATCTGCCTCCCAGGATCAAGTGATTCTTGTGCCTCAGCCTTCCAAGTATCTGGGACTACAGGCACGTAACACCATGCCTGGGTAATTTTTGTATTTTTTACATATATAGAGTTTTACAATGTTGGCCAGGTTGGTCTCAAACTCTGGGCCTCAAGTGATCTGCCCGCCTAAGCCTCCCAAGGTGCTGGGATTACAGGCGTGAGCCACTGCACCCAGCCTATTGTATTGTTATAAGAGGAAAAGATGTTTTTCAGTTCAAAGAAATGAATGGGCCCCTCTCAAAACACCTGCAAGAAATGACCACCAGTGCTTATACTAAATGTGCAATGATATGACCTTTAAAATCTCAAACTAGGCCAGGCGCAGTGGCTCACGCCTTTAATCCCAGCACTTTGGGAGGCCAAGGCGGGTGGATCACGAGGTCAAGAGATCGAGACCATCCTGGTCAACAATGTGAAACCCCATCTCTACTAAAAATACAAAAATTAGCTGGGCATGGTGGCGTGTGCCTGTAGTCCCAACTACTCGGGAGGCTGAGGCAGGAGGACTGAACCCAGGAGGCGGAGGTTGCAGTGAGCCGAGATCGCGCCATTGCACTCCAGCCTGGGTAACAAGAGCGAAATTCTGTCTCAAAAAAAAAAAAAAAAAAGAAAAAAAAATCTCAAACTAGGAGCTTACAAAGATTACCAGGTTGAAAAAGAAGAAAGAAATTTTGACTGTCTTCAATGCTTGTTACAAAAAAAAAAAAACGCCTCATATTTTTTGGTAGAAGGGCCTGTTTGTAGCTCACAGGTTGATGTGTAATCTTTTTCTTCCCAACATATGAGTTAGCAGAGTTGAGAATAAATACATCAGGCGTGATGCTGGCCTGGCTTGTAATGAACAATGATAGAAAACAAAATCTTGACATAAAGAAGTTAGCCCAGATGTAGCTCAGGGCAGACCAGTGTGATCCAGTCAGCATCCCAAACAAAGGCAAGTGGAGCAGAGCTTAAGGGCAGTTGTTGGCCGGGCACAGGGACTCATGCCTGGAATCCCAGTACTTTGGGAGGCCAAGGGGGCAGATCACTTGAGTACAGGAGTTCAAGGCCAGACTGGGCAACAAGCAAGACCCCATCTCTAAAAAAAAATTTTTTTTAAATTAGCTGAGCATGGTGTTGCATGCCTATAGTCTCAGTTACTCAGGAGGCTGATGTGGGAGTATCTCCCGATC